GAGTTACCGACCAGATAGTCCAAACATCATGAGCAATGCTTCGTACGCATTAACACGGTTATTCCCGACCGTCCGATTGCAAAAGTCAGGATTCTGGACCTCATAACGGTACGAAATGCTATAGCGACCTTCAGCACATTGCTGCCATTTCAACAGCATAAACAACTTCGCCTCCGACAGCCATTGATCTAGGAGAAACTGTCCCAGTAAGCATTACGTTAACTGATTCCTCTAGTCGTTCAGCCGTAATGCCCTTCGGCAGTGAAGCATCAGTGGCAACACTGATGTTGCTGTCTTTGATGATTATGGTGATTAATACCCTTCCGGTCCCTAGATGCCGTGCCACCCAAAGGATGCATGAGGGCTCGGATAATGCCAAGCCTAGACAGGGGAAGTCGGGAGGCAGATGTCGGGTTAGAACCACGAACCTTCCGGTCAGTAAATTCGCGCTCTAACCACTGAGCCATCTCCAATCACGCGGTTCAAAATTTGATTCACCCAGTCTTAGTGGTGTGAAGCGAAGTCAGTTGTTGCTTATTACTGTTTGCGACAGTTGTGGCGTGATTCGATGACAGCTATATCGTCGGTGTACTCAGTATCTACAATCTAGCAGTGAAAAAGTCCCCCCTATGGTAGTCGGAATCTGGTCAGGATTCTTGCAAGGTCGAGTTGATTGCAACAAGGAAGGCGATGAGATAAGTGAACGGTCTTCACCACTCAGGTAAAAGCCCGCCTACAACGTTTACTCGACCAGGGCAGTAACCATACAACACTCTGAAGAGAGCCAAAGTTCCAGCTAAGCTATAACACCGTTTTGGGCAAACAGTGCCAATGTTCAATGAGCGACGGAGCAGAAAACAGACCTTTAACAAAGACTATCAATCTCCGTTTCGAAAGCCGTACCACTGGAATGACATAAGTCTCAGTCGGGACTCAACCTGATCAGCACTTACTTCCCGCCACTCTACAAGATATTCTTCGACTTTGTGAAGTGGATACGGCTTATCTGATCCTGACGCCATATGAACACGTTGGATCACCGTGCGCTTTGTCTTACATTTCCCCCTTGGTCACTCGGGTTCACATCAAAGTTGATTGCATGGATTGGCCCTACCGAATGGACTGTAGGTAGTCGGCTGTACCGTGATTCGAAGACCCTGTTCAAATTATCAGCTATAAACAATGCATCAAGAGTGCATTTTCCCCTGTTGATGCCGTTTCAGTAACGGAGTGTAGGGTAGCTGAAGCCAAGCACTGAAGGCGATACCGTAATCAGCTATCATGTAGTGAATCAGTCGAGTTGTTTGGAGGAACGGGAAACTGGGCAGCTACGTAGTGGAGATAATGACTTTCATGCACGAGAGCCTATGACTGCACGCATTAGCCATGTCTGCCGGAGTTAGTAACCATGGCTGGGTTGAGTGCCGGGGTCCCGATACACGAAAGCAGCTACTGCCAATCCGACCGGGTTTATTGTTCACTTCCTTGCCAGGTCACCCCTCTGCAGCTTCCATTCAGTACAGGGTTAAGTAAAAAGAGTTCTGGGACGCTGAAAGAAACACGGATAGTCAAACGCCGAGTTTTCGCATATCTGAGAGTAGGGGTCACGTTTCTGACTCGTAACGCAGTGTGATTCGCGACGCCACATTCTACACCCTATTGTTAACAGACAAACTGACGTCACGCCGGTTCGCTCGGTACCGGAGGTTGTTAGCACTGTCCTAGCCTTCCTGAATCAAGAAATGATCTTGCCTCCAGCCAGCTCACCGCGACCTATACAGCTTTCCATGTAGATAAATTTATCTGCCTCGTCGATTGGCTAGTCCGCAATAGTGATGTTCGGGTTTGATCCTATCCTATGGACAACAGTGGGCGTTTGAAAGGTTCGCGATGTTCGATAACCAATTTTACGACAATGATAAGGTCGACTTATCCTCGAGCACGCAAAATATCTATATTCCAAGGAATATGCATATTCTTACAACCGATCAACGTGCGCCAAATGATAAAACAGGGCACATTGGATGCCACAACAACCAAGCGGACGAAAAGATAGTCGTCACGCGGCATACGTCATTCATACGCCCTCCACCGTCGTCACCATCATCAACAGCATGACACCGATACTTCGCTGCCCTACAATCATGATTTATTTGAAAGAGAAGAATAAAGGTGGACGGGGAAGGCACTTAATGCTAGCTTACTACGATCATTCAGAGGTGCGTACAACTCCAAACATTCACTCAGGCAATCTGGATAGAAACTAGCAAGATCGCCACTGACATCGGTTGACGACCATATCTTGCAGCGTCTCCAACCAGGTGCGGTGGGTACCACGGGGTTCCCATCCCGGAAAAAAACCGTTCAGCTGTAAAACCCTTCCAGCGCCTAGCTGCTACGCTGCACGAGGACTGGGATACTACCAGGTTGCCCAAGTCAAGAGGGAGAGGTTTCTCTGCTTCTACCACCCCGAAATGGGCATGGGAAACAGCACTCTCTTCGGCAAGCGATGGTTAGGCATACGCAACTAACGCAGCTTCTGGTTCTTGCAGCTGATAATGATGATTCTTACGCCCGTTAGGAAGATTGGAGTTTGGAAAGACACTCCAATCGTACGAAGTAGGATCATCAGATTGCTCACCAGGGCCCTACTGCATTGCAGAGTTAACGGTGCAGACCATATAAGCAAGGCTCTTTGTCAAGAAGGACTTCCGTTGTTGACGGCAGGCTGGTATCGGTTTTCCCTCCAGACTCACTGAGTTCTTCTAAAGTGTGCTGACAGAGACCAGCTGACTGTTTCGTAAAACGATCAATCCAATGCTAGGAACAGGGATTCCGTTGTTGAAGTACCGTTCTGCCTTAATCGCAAGCGGTTTGACTGAAACCTGCATTCGTTGGGCCCGTTATACGAATCCACTCATATAAGGCACAGCTGTGGTCAGCAGAAAGGGGACCACCTTCACATAAGTCTATCCCGTCGTTTTATGTCAGATTACGAGCAAACAAATGAGTGGTCTTCCTCGCTGATAGTTTTGCTGACAGCCTCACTGCCAGTCAAGCTAACTGTGCTTATGCGATGTAGGGGGATCAGGGCCAAAGCCTTATCGCTTTTTCGGCCATCCACTTTTATGAGGGTCATTATAGTCTGATATACAGAATATCTGCTTGCATTCTCGAAGATACTCTTCGGTAGAGTGACATTCTGGCATCGATGGGGGTTGAAAAATCAAGGTGAATAGAGCTAGCGGAACAGACCGATCACCTGAGTCAAATACGCCTCAAAACTCCAGTAAAACCCAAATTGTGGATTATGTATACGTGTGGCGCTGTTCCAGCACCTGACGGGGTGTGGGGAATTGACCAATGCGACCGCTACCAGGCCATGATCCCGCTTACTGCTCTCGAGTCAATGCTTCATGAGCCACCCTAAGGCGATGAGCGACAACTAACGCCAAGAATCTGGTTGCGGATGAAGTCGAAGCAATTCCAATGTGACTGCCGTACTCACTAGGAGCCTTTTTTTATAAAAAGTTGTCCCAGTTGTCTGGAACAGTCTACGTAGCCCAAATACTGGCAACTGGATCAGACAAGCGGTGGCTGAGGACTTCAGTCATGTCCTTGAACGATGAGGCAGGAGATCATCCGGGCCGGGAGCTCGGTAGTACTAGGGAAAGCACACACAGTCACAAACCTCCGATGGCCTACGGGGTTCCAGGTGCCCCGTCGATGATCGCCCTTCAGTTGCAGGATTCAAGTTAGTGGCCGAAGGTATCCACAAGAATTTTCGTTCCAAGTTTTCAGCCTAGCCATCGAGGCGTCCATTATTGGAGGTTGTGGATCTGCTTTTATCCTCTTTATTCTAGGTCACAGGCGGTTTCCGGGGCTGATCGTACGGATCCGCTGAAATCGTTTTCTCGCAATGCTGGCTTTGTTGACCTTTTCCAGTTCTTTGGTGCTTTGTGTCCACCAGGTTTCACACTCATCCAACATGGTGCTGAAAAATTTTCGAGGCCAGCGGGGACCTTCCTCCTGGATTCAATAAATGAAACTATTCTGTCTGGTGCACAGACTCTAGAGTTCCGAGGCTTACCGTCCAGTGCAGACCTAGTGCAGTTCAACAATCCAACTGAGTGGCAGCCAGTGGCTACAAAAATCGGTCCCCGAAGAACTCGACCCAGCTGTCTAAGCATGCTTTCTTATTGAACATGATCACGCCAGTTTGGTACTTGATGGGTTTTTCACCGGCGTTTTCCGCGGTACGTCCGCAGAGACGACCCGAAATAATCTTCGGGAATTTCCGTCATTCTTCGCCCGTTCCACTTTCCCCAGCCTTCTGGGTTAACCAGGCTCCACGGTGTGCACCAGTCGAAAAATGGGGGGATCGAAGCTCCGTTGAAGGACGTTGTCGTATGCCTTAAACTCAAAGTTCTAACTCACTTGGCAGTAAAAGCCGTACAACCGGTGAGCACATTAAAACGCAAAATTGTATTCCTAATGCGGATGCGCAAAGTGTATAGTGATGAGTAATTCTTCCCCGAATTTACGATATCAAGCGGTTTCCCGAAAATATGAAATCAATGCAACAACAATGCAAAACTGTTGTTGGGCTTGCATCTAACGAGTAATCTATGTATATAGTATAAGTAGATTCAATTTAATTTATCAGCTACAAACCGTGTCATAGGCACATTGATTCCAGCTGCTACAGTTTCGATCACCGGAAAACGGGAAAGTGGAGCATACAACCGAGCCTTGGAGGTGAAGGCATGTTGATTGTCCAGTAATTGGGTAGCTACGTATTGAATGCGATAGCTTCGATGCACGAGCGCCACTGACTGCGCGATTGTGCCATTTCCGCCAATGTCATTAGTCACTGGTGGTTTGAGTCCCGAGGTCCCCATTCTGGGAGGCGGCAGTTGCTCACCCGACTAAGTTTACAGGATAGTGCTTTCGTACTTCGTTGCCAGGTCATACACTGTACACCTCTCGGTCGCTTTCACTCAGCACAGGGCTGGGAGGGAAAAATCTGAGAGACGGCCTTGAAGCATGCGGAGTACATGCCATAACCATCGCAACTCATGAAGCGTGAGTAATTCATCTACCGCGGGAGAGCCTAAGACCACCTGGCGTGCCTCAGCATTACTAATCCGACGTTCCTATCAGACTCGACCAATGCTGCGGAGACACCGGTGATCAAACATTAACATCTTCCGTATATCTTCTGCGCAAAGGGGCCACTTCTACAATGCATAAAGAAGTATGAATCGCACCACCGCAGTGTAAACGCTTATCTTGACAGACAAGCTCCCGTTCGGTCGGCACCATAGGTGTTGGAGGTTGGCGAAAGCTACTCTGGGTACAAATAACCGGGAGTCTCCTGCGGCCGCTGGTGCAGTGGAACGTGTGGCCCACCCACTGCTCGCCTCTAAGGCTTGACGACAAGATAATGATATAACGAGCATACTCCACGCTCGAAATATGAAGCAAAGGACTGGTTGGAGAAACGGAGTATTCGCTGTGCAGACCATTGCAAAACTGACGTCTCACTCAGCTAAATTTGGTTCTGGAATAGACAGCGCTATATGGCTCAAAGGTGGAGTATTGTGCATGCCCATTATTCACATATCCGGGTTTCTTACCCTGCCCTGGTTACCGCCTGTAGCGAAGAGAGGAACACAATGAGACAGACCATGGTACGATCGCGTTAGCTTTTCAACCTAAATTCAGAGCAAACTGGCTGGCCGACAATTTCAATCCGTTCAACCCGACACTGCCGTCCTAAAATGGCGTCTAATTTAACATTTCGGTATGCTCCAAGCTTAGGTGTCATACAACAGAGATCTAGTAAATGTACCACTAGACCATACTTGTCACTACAATATTAGAAGATAGATATCCCCGTTTATGGTTCAGTCACACTTGCCTAAACTTGCCCCGCAACTAATGTCCTAAAGGGCATTCACGTTCATCACCATAGTGGAGAGCAAAGCAAGTCATGGAAACCAGTCACTGTCATAAAACACTAGGAGAATGTGGTCTCATTGCACAGCCTGACCCCTCTGGGGAAGACGGTCAAAAGCAAGGCGTCGGACCACGGGGATTTAATGACGTGTTAAAAAGTACGACTCAGCGGGATAAACCCAATGTTCTTTGAGAACTTCATTCGACACTAGCCCTGTACAAAACCAGGTGCTAGCTGGTCAGTCCGACCATAATATGACGGGAAACTCAACACGCTTTGTAGGATTCCCAACAATACGCTGGGAGAATCACATGTGCGAACATGTGATCAAACTGACAGTAGTGGCCTTCGCTTCATGTCACCACCTCATGGCATTTACCTCACAAAGGCTTTTATGGACAGTTGTCCCGAACAGAGCTTCACCGGCTGCGGGAACTTTTGGGTAGTTCATTGTGGACTCCAATGTCGGCGGAAGTATAAAAATAAAGGAAGGGAAGAAAGAAAGCTCGCTCATTCATCTGTCCTTTTAAGTCAAAGGAAACCGTTCCGGGTCAACGGTATTAGGGCGCTCTTCAAACACTTAACGTGGTCTGTGGATCCTTTGCCAGGAGAAACTCCTACCTGATATTCTCGAATATGCGTCACATCTGATGAAGTCGAACGTCGAAGTATCCATGAAGGTAGCATTCGCACTACGACCGGGATAAATCTTAAAACCTTATGGTCGCTCGTTAGAGTAGCATCTGCGTAAAGGTAAAACGACTGAATTTATTTTCCTGGAGTGCACTCCTGTTCCCAAAATCGTTCAGGCAATCTGAAAAAGGGCTTTCACGGTGGGTTGAACCAAATATTCACATCTGAATTGGACTCTGCTAACCCACAACTAGTGAGCGCTCACGTTCAAATCGACCGGAGCTCAATTCAAAACATAAAGATGAAGGAACTGCTTGCTAGGCCTTTATCTATGACCACCGGTGTATTCCGATCACCATAAAAAGACAGGCTATCGCAACTCAATACGATCACCATAAAAGACACAGGCTATCGCAACTCAATACGACTCAGCCTCTTCATGACATAGGCCACGTTGGTGAGAGGATTTGAATCGTTTACTTACTTCAGAGTTTACAAACCTTAATCGTCCTTCGTATGATACCCAAAATAACTTGTATTGGCACATTCGCGCCAAAGGCGCCACACATGCATCGGTTTGTACTCATCTCCCATGTAGAACAGCGAAAATAGCCTAAGAATAAACGCTGACGCAACGCTCCATTACGCTACGCAAACAACGCACTGGAGATGACTCAACTGGTGATGAAACTCTTGTAGTCAGACTATCTAGCTCAGAAAACAACGAACAAGCATCCACGCAACCTGAGTCGCCTTAATTTGCCTCGAGAGCAAAACAGCCCATAAGCTTAAGAGGACTAGAACGAAACCGGCTTCCATTAATTCTTAGGATACCTCGTTTCTGTTGAGTATCAGGGTTGTTAACAAAACAAAAATTCTTACCTTTTAAGTTAACTGAAACACACTCCGTCTGCGCCATCCTCACTGTTCCAAGAGTGACAGTGGAATCCAATTGTCTCGAAAAAATTAAATGCCCAATCATAAGCAAGAAGGCGACTTGGGAAGGATAAATCATAAATTCTTGAGCAGAATTATTCAGCACGGTACACTCCAGATAGCAGTTCGGGAATCGTTTGGATGAAACACTCACAGAGGAATTCTGTTTCTTGGTTAAAAGGGATACGAATATTCGGTACACCAAGAGAGGCAGCAACTGACCACTTCCCAGTGAACGACACAAGGTGTTACGAAGAAATCAGTGCACAAAAGTTGTTGAAAGTGGTGGGATTAAGACCTACACAGTGGAGCTGTACAAACATATTGTATATTATATATTCCAGAAGAGCCGCTGCCCAATTGCACGTAACTGGAAAGAGCTGCGAGAACTGAAGACCGAAGAACAGAATGACAAGGGACACTGGAAGGCGAATACACAAGTAGCTTGTGGTAGAAAAACCTAACGGACACACCTTTATGAAAGACTAAACAAGCCCAACACCCAGCTTTGCGTGAAACGACCCAGAATAAGGACCTCCAACTAGAGAGTGGCCGTCGCAGGGCTCAACTAGGAGTTCAGAAAATAAAGTCAGGCAGTTTGACACAAAAGCTTGGGGCCTTTGCACAAAGCGGATTATTATCTCCAAGAAACGTCCTCGGGAAAAATGCAAAATACAGCAAAATCACAGCTTTCCAATAGTCTACGGTGGGAGATTAAGGGGAACGAGGGAGGTCAAATGGAATGGGAAGTGGAAAACACGGGTTGCACGTCGGTAGGACGAAAAACGTGTCGACCGATGCGCTTGGTTGAGGCCCAGAAACAGATAAATATGAACATCTGGAAAACACGTATCGAGATCGTATTTAATAGGTACATATGGTAGTGAGGAAACCTTAAATAAAGGCGTCTACTAAAAGTCACTATGGATGTAGAACGGAGACAAGTAGACCCTAGTTATAACACCGAAATGAAGTGCGACGGAACCTTACTCATGGTGTAGACAAAATCGAATCCAATATCCAAAGATCCAGCGATAGATTCTCTGATTATGCTGTCACAAATGACAGAAATTCCATCGCAACAACTAATTGGTAAGGCTGCCAAATTCAGGGAAGGATGATGAACTGACTATTATGCACGTAGGTCAAGATGGGTAACGGCAGAAACAAACATCAGTTGTAGACGAGCGACACATCGAACATCGCCCTAGCTGGCGCTGCACGGCTTGTGAAAATACGTCGGTATCATAGAAGGTGCTTCTGAAACGCAGTAGGGCATTAAGGATCCATCGGGTGACGTCTTTCCACTAGATCCAATTGTGATTTCGTCAAATCCAGAGTCGGAGCTGCTTGCGTCAAAATGATCTATACCTGAGGGAAATCTGGTTGATGACCCCAAGGGTGAAACATGTTTATTGTTGGATAGTACACAACCGACGCCCACCGATGCGTTTTCACCTCGTGAAAAGGGATCGAAAGGATGGCGATTAGGGCTAGAAGGCCCATGCGATGCTGTGTGTGCGGACCGCAACTGTAAATCCAGTTCCGAGTCATCTGAAAAAAAAGGAACAAAATATGTGAAGGGAAACATGTCAAATGACACGACAAGCATTAGTAACCGAATGGGTAGTCAGTAACTCACCAGAGGATGTCGTTGTTATTGAACACTCAGAACAATTGCGATTACGTTCTCTCCAGCTCTGCAGTTTCAGGAATCTGCTCTTCTTCTCCTCGAGCTTTTTCCGTAAAGCTATACGCCGCTTAACCAATTGTGCGTACCGCTGTTTTTCGTTGTCTTCACACGTTTCAAGGCATTGTTTTCGCTGCCTCAGATACTGCAATTATAAATAATACATGAAAAATGAGGTAACGAGTAACATAATGAGCTAGGATATTTAATTTGATCCTAGAGCCCCTTAGGCTGGTAACGGCAAAGCCAATGTAACGCGTTAACAGACGTACCTGGATTGTGGTGGTTGCCTTTTTTAAAACTGCCAGCATTGTTATTCTGGGCATGTCATTATCAAAATTAAGGTGTTCCTTGAGAGTTTCCATGCAAGCTCGAAGATGGGCACGTCTACCGAGAAGGGTTATTGTGGAAAAGGTACAACATACCGACTCTTTTCTAATTCATTGTGAGTACAGCTAATAACGGAATAATAAAGACTCCAAAAAACTAGGAACATACCGAGGGCCAGCTATTGGCCGCTTGGATGCATTATATCCATAGTTGTGTTGAACCACATATTTATGATCGGTATTTGCACGAGTATTTGGCCTATGGTCCCATCCATCGGAATAGCAAGGCCGCTGTATGGTATCTAGACGAAACACAAAAAAATGGAAGTTTTCAAAGCATGAAACGGTAAAACGAACAATTGTTTTGGGCACATCCTTTACAGTCGAACACATACATAAGGCCTTTGTTAGTAGTCTCAAACGGGATAGTTACTGATCCCTGAGCTGCTATGAACAAATGTTCATTAGCAGCAGTCCCGGAGGGGTTGCATGCTTGGAAGTTCTGACCGCAATCAAGGTAATTATGGTCATTCGTAAACTTATAGATTAACACATTCCTACCGTGAACCAATCCTGAGTGCTAAGGTTCACTTCATGGTTCCAGAAACCACATGATGCCAAGATTGCAAGTAGTTACGAGCTTATGGTCCGAAAATGAGTCGGTATAACTGCGCACTGAGTTGTAAACAATGAGTATCGGTTTTGAAGTGGGTTGTAAAATGACAGTTTGACGAATGCCAACACCGTGTTGCGAAAATAGAAAAATATTCAATAAGCAAGCGGTGGTACTGAAAAAAGAACGATTGAAGGGGCTGTTTCAACACGTAGCAAAAACACCAGATGTAGACATTTTTGATACATCTGGCGGAATGCATACGGAAAACAAAGCTTGAACATACAGGGCTCCCCGCCCCAAAACGGCGACATCAGTGCCCCTCCCTCATATGTAGACTAGCACGTAGATCGCCCGACCTATACGGTTCCGAAAGCCGCCACCGTAAATAAAATTATGATGTATGAAACTCATTCTGATCTGGACAATCGTCGAGAACTAAAGTTCATACGAACACAAGCACTTAGGAAGAATCCGCCATTTACCGTGTTTTGACAGTAAACACGCCACGTAACTCTGCACCTCCATGCTGTCTAAGCCAAAAATGTTGCTATATGAAGTGAGGGGGGTCAAAGAACAAGTGGCTTACAGAAAATACGCCCCATTAGATAGATGCATGATTGTTCAAATATTTCAAATCGGGTGATTCGTGGGAACCCTAGAAATTCCCGGGTAAATTCCAAGGCAGAGTTTCACAGTGCCAACCGGCCTCCTGGTTAGCCATGAATCCAAGTTGGAAGTGTAAATCGCCAAACCGTTTGGCGTTTAGTAATACTTCATGCTTGGACGATACGCACTCTAGACCCTGATACTGAGTCCGAATCAAAATTTGAGAAGCATACATACTTTGCAATAACATAAAACATGAAATGAATTGGACCAATGTCGTAGGGAATCTACTTACCTTCATTTTCAAGTTTCCTGGCTGCTTGTAACAACAATAGGAGACCATCGCCCGAATGACAGGAATATGACATAACACGCAGTCCAAGGGCGTGCGACCAACGTGCCACCAGACTGATGTAGTCCCATGCATCCAGTGCTTTATAGTTAGACCTTTATTCTCATTGGTCATCTGGCTAACGGTCGATAGAGACAGGGACGATCGCAGTAACTTAACCAATGAAATGCAAAAACATACACTGACCAATGGAGAACGAGAATTACGATGGCAACGACTGCACGCGTGCACGTGGTTCGCACACGACCTTCAGATTGACGGCGTGGCTGTTCTGCGATGCGCTTTCCTTCTACGTAGCATTGTTCTCTCCATCAATCGTGGTTTGTGGTGTCGGTTGGGTGTCCCATAGTCTTCAGTTGAAGAGGATGCTGGTAGCTCAGACCGTAGTCATGGTCGCTTATTTATTCCCCGTTAGTTACAGTTTTCATGCAAATAAATTGCCATTCCGTAGGCCAGGTCGCAAAAGAATTACCACCAAAGTTAAAAGACCATATCAACTTAGCCACCGAGAGTGGTCTTTGAATAGGGAAATCCTTAATTAAATAGTGTACTGCAATTGGCCGATGAAAGTGTACACGTATGACGGTCACCTTAGTAAACGCAGGTCTGACAGAGAGGTATCACGCATTGCCCTTCGATGAAGGCCTCCGTTAATATTTGTCCGTCACCGTGTTATCGCTACGTGCTCAGTCGAGGTTTGAATTACCGGCTGAGAGTAGCCAAAGGCAGAGGCATTCGCTTGTCCTCCAAACCAGCTACATGATGCCACAAAATAATGTATGGCTACCCCTGGCCGTTCACTGCGATGCAGTGAACTGGTCAACTCTCATCGGCTCTTCGGTGGTTAATTAAGTTTAATAAATCTGGGCTAAATCTTCCCATTATTTTAAGAATCACAGATATTGTCTTTGCGCTAACTACCGCTGCTAGACGAGTCCCGCTTCAAAAAGTTTATGGTTTGAAGCCTTGTCGGTTGATGGTCTGGAATGAATGTACCAGTTGGCGGTAAGTTAGGAAAAAAACTGCAACTTAGGGCATCGTGTTGGACCTAACCCGAGATGCTCCAAAGAAGGTCCTCCCAGAGTAAACCTTTCCTGTATATACGTAATGCACTACTCATAAGGTTGCTGAAAACTCTCCGACAGCCTACGACCGGTTTCGTTCTTATTGGGGCTCATCAGGTAGGCGCAGTCCCCGAGTTTCCGACAGCCGAATTGCACGAAATTAGCGAATTTGTTTGCGAATGAGTGCATTTCGCTAAACCTTCTCTGGCAAGATGACAGTGAAGCTTCATTGAAGAGGTCTTATGAGACAGTGTCACATCAGCTTAAATTATCGCACGAAATTTCGAACCACTTCTGGATGACAATTTTGTCTCGAATGTTCGTCTGAATCCTCTAGAGGTTTGTTGTTTTAATCACTGTGCGATCTATTGGACGACTGACAGAGGTCTAGTCCCCGAGTTCCGACAGCCGAATTGCACGAAATTAGCGAATTTGTTTGCGAATGAGTGCATTTCGCTAAACCTTCTCTGGCAAGATGACAGTGAAGCTTCATTGAAGAGGTCTTATGAGACAGTGTCACATCAGCTTAAATTATCGCACGAAATTTCGAACCACTTCTGGATGACAATTTTGTCTCGAATGTTCGTCTGAATCCTCTAGAGGTTTGTTGTTTTAATCACTGTGCGATCTATTGGACGACTGACAGAGGTCTACCTGCCATTCAGCACACCTACAGCCGCCTAGGTATTTGGCATTCTGGTCAGGAAAACCCATTGTTGATGCTTCCACAAAGCAGTTCTTTCTGGTACAGACATCGTTGTTCGAAAGGAGATCGCCCAAATACCCGTTTCGCATGGAAATTGAGTGGGCCTACAGCTACAGATTTCATTTTTGTGATAGTGCTCCATGCGTATTTACTTGTCGTGCTATTTTCAGTTTTTATGAGCTTGTATGAAATTCTGTCATACTGGGCAATAACTATGCCATGTTGTACAGGACCAAAGTGCTCAGAATCCACGACGGATTACAGACATCATGTTTCATTTGAAGAAACTCGATCCTCGTCGTTATGTGTCTTCTCAAAGTCCGCTGAGATTCCTACTTTTTACTTTTTGATTCCACTCACCTACCAAGCTTGTTGTATGGGTGAATTGTCCTATTGAACGTACTCTAAAGACAACATAGCTGTGGGAGTTTCAGACTACTGATAAGTACATGGTTGACCTTAATATGTTGCCCGACTAACCGGTCATTTGCAATGACAGTCCGTGGTTTGATGAAGGTCTTATAGCTTCAGAACTTTTCATTTTAACACCTTCACGCTACATTTTCAACTGAGCTGAACACCATGTATTTTGTTTCTAAAGCAAAGGAGAATTCATTTGCAAACTAATTTGGTTTTTCGAGAGACTCACCTGGAACCCAGCTGAATCTCTCGTTTGTGATGTTCTCAGGCAACTGAATGTGTTGCACCAGGCCACCTCATGTTGCAGTCGCTACGATAGTCGAGAAATCGCGATACCAGTCGTGGGCTGTCGACGGATTTTCAGCAACCTTATGAGTAGTACATTACGAAGGAGAATTCACTTTTCCTTGACATGATCATCCAAGGATAGCTTAGCTACCGGTAACACAGCCGGTTTCTTGAAAAGAGATTTAGTCTAGGTACATTTCAAAGTGTTCTGTAAGCAGGAACGTATACGCTAATCAGAAGAGCTACGTATCGTCTGAACATACTGAATCATTATGGTAAACGTAAATTCATTGCAATGCCCAGAGATGTTCACTAATCCTTATCTCTTGGCATGGTGGCCCTTGTTGAGGAGTAAGTTCACACTTGCCCGATTTTCTCTTCTCTTCTTGAAATGGATCGTCTTTGCTCATCAGTAGAAAAGAATGCTAAATATGGGAAAAGCTCGGGGACAACTCTACTACATTCATCCAATTCTGATCAGGACGGGAACACATGAGTGCTTTGAGAAGCCGCACACTGCTTCGCATAAGGGCATACTGTCTGCACTCAACGTTTTTGGGTTCCGTCTATGAAGTTCCTGTTGTTCTGGCATTCTGCGTCGTAAGTATGTGCCGGATGAGGCTGGCCACTGAGGCGTTGGATGCACATCAGTATAACTGCCTGATATCGTATTCGGTGGGATATAGTTCGCACTATCCACTATTCACTTTGTCAGTAAGCAGAGGTAGACCATTGGGATTTTGTGGATTTATTATCGTTCAGCTGTAACACCCTTCCAGTGCCTAGCTACCATGCCACGCGAAGGAAGCACGAGGGCTGGGACACTGCCAGGTTGCCCAAGTCGAGAGGCAAAGGTCGGGTGCGAACCACGGATCTTCCTGTCAGTAAGTTCGCGCTCTAACCACTTGAGCCACCACCACAACCTAAAAGTGTCTCTGAAAACGTAGTATGCAGCCCACCAACATAGAGTCGCTTCATCAGAAGTCATGAGAATATCCTACATCAATTTTTGACGGCATTCTGCCACCAGGTGCACAAAATCTCCCACAGGACAATGAGAAATGTCCCGTAGGAAGTATTTAGCTTCATATATTCCGTTTCTACTGTTATACAGTTGTATCTTTTAACCGTAGGTAAGGATGTTCACCATTTTGTTGAAATGTCCCATAGAGCAAAGTGGACTAAGTTGACTAATTCATGTATTCTAACATTGCTAAGGGAATTGACTAGGCGAACAACTTCAGGTGTCCTATTACAATCAGTAGATTCAGTGCGTTGGACTATTGTGCTTGTTTGATTGCTGTATGATTATTGATTGATTCAATACAACTGCTTATAGGTACACACTAACACCATTTGTTCCTATCCATCTCTCTGCTTGCATCACCGTTCAGTTCGTCAATGCCATACTTCTCCCAACAACACATTCAGTGCAGATGACCCTTGTCGAGCGATTTGGGTGAAAATGGATAACCGGGCGATAAACCAGCGGTGATATGGCCACAAGTACTAGCACCGCAGTATGATGGTGAATTAAACAGGGGGACAAAAGTGGCCATAAGAGATTTTCAAATCGAATTTTGTGACTGTTACTGAGTACAGTCAAGTAAACTTGAGATAGGTCCATTACTTTCAACCGAACAGTAGGCCTAAGCTCACTAAGTACGGATTGGGCAACTACTTTCAACACACTTTCATTCCCTCTCCACTAAGGAATTAGAACATTTGTGTGAACAAGCCGTAATTTCGCGTTGCCAGTGTGCTTCTGGCCTTCTGTGTGTTTCAACCTGTCGGGGATCCAGGCTCTCCTATGTGTCAGACGTTTACAAAACCATTGGAGGATGTGAACAATGTGGACAAAGCAGTGAAGGAAACTAAACTCGACCTATCCAGCAAGTCGTGTCTTGTGGAGGACTGGGAACGGATGTTCTTTGTTCAGCTGATTGGAGTATGCTGGCTGGCCGGCTGGCCACTCAGACAACAGGCCAGGGAGACAGACTGGAGTGTGAACGCGCGCCCGAAACGAATAGCAAGACAAAGCATATGGCCATGTTGGCATGCTTGCGGTTGACTGTGTTGTTTCATCTGTGGGAGGTCAGGGGTCAGCCAAGCCAACAAGGTGACAGGGCACGCCCACCAAAAGCAGTTTGGTGCATATTTTGCAATCCTGCCTGCTGACGCATGATGCCAGATGTGCTCGTCATAATCGGGTTGCAAGGGAACTTGCAAAACGTCTCCGTCGACTGGGGTACACCGTCTTCGA